AAGGTCTGTAGGCATGACTTGAGGGCCCCGGATGCTAAAAGAAGCAGATTCTTGTATAAGAGCAGCATGAGGTGTGGGCTAAGTTGGCAACGTTTGGCGGAGTTGGGAGGATAGCTGCGTCATCCGTACATCCCCTCGTACGAAATTGACCGGCAGCAAGGTTACAACCCATGTTACTAACTAACTCTTGCAATATAAATTCTTCAGTTTTCAGCGTCAGGGCCTTTTTCGTTTCGGTGAAATTCATCTATATGCGCCATGGCCATGTCATCATAATGCGAGATGCCGTCGAGCGAATATGCTCTCAGGGAAGGCTCTTCATACCCATTCGCATCAGTGCAATAGGAGCTCGTGCATTATCGTTCGGAAACTGTTGTTCTTGCCCTGTGCTATTGAGCGTTGGTAAGAGTGGCAAGAAGTACGAACAGTCAAGGGATACGGTGTACAAACCACCTCGTGGAAGTACTAACCTTGAATGGTCAACATGTGCGGTTGTGCAGTACTGCAACAGCACGCTGTTTGTTAAATCATATGGTTGGGCGCCAAGCTTAAACAGACTCCTTCATTTCTGCTCCACATAAGAAACTTCTATTTTATTGTTCCACAAGGGATGCGCTTGGTCAAAATTAGCATCCAACGCCCTGTTGGTCATAGGATCCTCGCACGCTGTGACCCGTCGAACAAATTACCGATACAACCCCTACAAACAAACTATCGATACAAGTACAGACACGTAAACCATATACGAGAGTGTCACTGTCTCGCTGCCCTCTGCCGAAAGAGATTGGCACCACACCGCTGGCCCTGCTGAAAGATATCATCAAACCACCTGCTTATGCTCTTGTATACAAAACCTACTGCCGAGCGCACAGAACGGCAATTACCACGCAATCAAACCCTTCCCCCTCCTAACTTGGCCTAACTTTCTTTCAGTGCGATCAAAGAGGGCCACAAGTTTGCCATTGCCCGCTTTCAGTATATGCATAAAACCCCCAAAACCCAAGCCAAATGCCTCCTTTTCCTTTATCTCGCGAGGCCGGCCGTGAAGCACGACAGTACACCCAGTACAACGGCCAAATCAGCAAACAGTGCCACTCAAGTCAAGCTGCCGCTTTCTCCCCCAGCAGTTTAGTCTATTGTATTTCCAAGCTAATGTATATCGGCGGGCCGTTCCGCTCATGAAAAATCGATGACCGCGACCACCAGCACCACCATCCTACTTGTGCTATCCTCTAATCACGTTCCAAGAAGTTCCACACCCCGCGACCCCTGAGGACGTAGTACCCTGCTACTACTACGGCTATTAGCATGGTGCCTGCCTTAGCGAACCGCGCATTGCGCTCTGGGTGCAGAAGAGGCATGTCATCTGAACCCGCCGGGTCGCAAACAGTGCAGTCGACAGCGACTAGATTCTAGCGCCCAAAGGGTCCGGCAAAATGAGCAAGGGAAGCCAGCGTGCATGCTGCGAACGCGATCGCAACCAAACCTTGCAGACAAGCAGCAAGCAGCCGTCCATTGCTGCCGATCACAAGGCGTACACGCCAAACGCCACCTCCAGCCGATCGAACTTCGATCAGCCGCCCCGTCTCCGGCCCCGCCCATGCGAGCCCCTTCCTCCAAATCGACCACCACGGGCCCCAGGACTGCGCCCTCCCCGTCCGCCGCCCGGACTCTTCCCACCATACCCTTTCCAACCCCGCCCTCGGCCGTGACTTCGGGACCCACTAGCAGAACCTGGTGTTCTACCAGGCCCTCCTTTTGCATCACTGCGCCAGCCCTCACTGGCCGCCTTCTGGAACATATTAGAGCCGCTGCGCAGTAGTGAGCCCCGGCGGCCGGAGCCCTCCTCTCCATCCCCATCGTCCTCCTCATCGTGCCTGCTGCGGACTTTCTTCGTCCTGCCGCGGTCGTACTCCTGGTCCCACTCGTCGTACTCACGTCCGCCAGGCGGCATGTGTCGCTTGGGACCAGCGATAGTGAAGTTTAACTGCGCAACCTGGCGCCGCATCTCCGCATCCTCTGCTTCCACTCCCTCCCATCCGGCGTCTACATCCGTATGCCCAGCCCCATGCCCCTTCGCATGTGTTCGTTGGAATGCGCTGGCTCCCTGAGCCCCACTGCCTCCTTTGCCGCCAGCGCTGCCGCCGGTCAACCATGCGAGCGCATCCTGACCGGTCACAGCCTCCACCGCAGCTGCTGACTGTCGCTGCTTTGGCATTGCCATGGCTGATTCCTTTCGCGTGCCGTTTGCCTGCGGCGAAGGTACCATCGTCACATCCGCTGCAGCTGACGGGTGGTGCATCTCTTGCTGCGGCTGCTGTTGTGGCTGCCGCTGCTTATGAGACTGCTCGCCCTGGTCACCCAGCTTAGCTAGAGTCTCATCGTTGATGGCCCTGGACTCCTCCGACGGGTCACACGCCGACCGCCGCCGCCGCTTTGACCCAGCCAGAAGTGTGTCCCCTCCGGTGGTTGGCTCCTCAGACGGCTTATTGAGTGGTTCCGCTGCCATTGCAGCCAGTCGCCCAAAACCCTTGCGACACGAAACCAACCCGGAAACGGCCTTTCTCTGCCGGTCGGAAGTCGACGGGCCTACATCGCCCCCATTGTCGGTTACCCCCGCTGCGGTGTCAACCAGTCCACTGTTTAAGGTACGACTCGATGCCGCAGGTTTTACCGCGTGGTCTTTATGCGCCAATGTGTCAGCAGCTTGATTCCTTTCGCTTTTTCCGCTCCCGTCCGCATGATGGTTAGGGCTGGTAGGCTGAGACAAGAAAGCGGGGCGAAGGTCAACCTCACGGCGGCTAGGAGGCGGCCGAGGCGGCTTCCCCGTACACACGATGCCTGCGTCATCAGCTGCAACATGAGCAGCGATCACTGATGCCGCGGCAGCTCGCAACTCGGAGCTTTGTGCAGTGTGGCCGTTACCGTTGCCATTGCTGTTAGCTGCGGTGCCAACTCCTGCATGGCGCAGCTGGCCGTTGGCTGCATACCAGACGCTGGTGAAGGGGCGCGCACCGAGGGGGGAGGTGCGGAAAGGCTTCAGCGCGGAGGCAGGCCTGCGGAGGAAGGTTCAAATGAAAAAAGGCAGGAGTGAGTCGCGCAGGGTCCCAAAGCCCGGGGATTCCAAGCTGAAGTCAGCCTAGTCAGGGGCTTCATGTCGGTAGAAAGTGTGGGGCGGTTGAGTCGGCCCCAGTTCGCGTTGTGAGACATCCAGCCAGTAAACGTGATACCCCTGAAACTGCAACCGAGGCAACTAGGCTTTCAAATCATCAGCAGGCAAGTCTGAGCACAGCCTCTGGGTGTGGGCAAAACAAAATTCGCTACCAAACAAACTGAAGGTTAATTGTGAGCGCAACTCACAGGATAACAAACCGACAATGCTAGGAAGAGCGCTAGGGGTCAGATAACGGGGTTTCTGAGGCCCCTAAGGCATATCGATCACTGTTTATCAGTGCCCAGTGCGTTTCATCATTCCCCGACAATCGCCCTATCCCTGGATGCCTTCAGCGACAAGTCACACAGCATCACGCCTCCAAACGCCGCATACTTACTGCATAATCTCCTAACGACATACAACGACATACTATTTCCAGTGGGTACAGCGCAATGACATCGGAAAGTGGAAACGGGTGAATGCGGAAATTAGGGCTCCGAGGTCCTGATGTTCGAACAGTAAAACAAAAGCCTTAACGTCAGTCGCTTCCCTTTGTCAGCCGAGCCATGTGGAGGGCTATACATGAGTCGAGAGGGTCAGATCGCGGGGTTTCTGAGGCCCCTAAGGCATATCGATCACTCGACTTTCAGTGCCCAGTGCGTTTCATCAGTCCCTCCTCAAGAAACTGCTTATGCTTCTCATGAAGCACATCGGACAGGCCGTGGCAGTGGGGTTTGAACTATTGCGGCACGGCAAAGGGTCAGATAACGGGGTTTCTGAGGCCCCTAAGGCATATCGATCACTCGATTTTCAGTGCCCAGTGCGCTTCGTCAATCCCTCCACCTTCGCACAGGTAGCAAAACAGTCTCCGATGTGGATACATCCACGTTCATACCGCTGTGCATGCAAAACCGTAAAGCATGGCCTCATGTTCATCACAGCGCAATATTGTGGATGCAATGGCTTCATGACGCGTCAGTATATATTTTGGAATTAGAATGACCTCATCATCCCCGCCGCAACACCCTAGCCCCTGGCTGCAAACACACACATATATATACCTGGATTGGTGAGTGCCGTTCGCGCTCCGACAGCTGTGCTGTTGTTGCGAGTGGTCCTTACTGTCCGAGTCCAAGGGCTGCGGCTGCTGAGGCGGTTGCTCGAGCCCACTTCCTGTGGGAAGGGCCCCATGCGATGCACCAGCACTGTTCACGGCAACCGGTTTCACGCCGTTTGGCGGGGCCAAGCCGTTTCGCAGGCCACCGTGCTCGGCTGTTTCGGCCGGAGCAGCGTGACTTTCACCACGATGATGTTCCAGTCCCTGCTGCTGTTGCTGCTTAAGGGCCGGTTGCGGTTGCTGCAGCTGCTCATCAGAGGCTCCCTGTCCGGCCCCAGCGTCTGTCGGCTTCGATTTGAGCTTGAGCGCCCGCTTGTTCTCAGCCATATTCGCCAGCATGAGGGCCAAAGTTGTGCTCGGGGACTGCGCCGAGGCGTTGACAGCACCCAGGGCCTTGCCCTTATCCTTGGCCTTGGCACCGTTGACTGCCGGAACAGCAGCGGCCGCGGCAGGCTCCCCCGGCGTCGAGTGCCGCGCACGCTTGGCGGCCCTGTCCATCTGACCCTCCGATTGCTGCTCTGCCTCCGCGCCGCCGCCAGCACCATCCTCCCGCTTTCGCCGCGAAGGAGACGGACCTGCCTCCCCGCCGCGCCCATTACCCGATTTCGCCAGGGCCGCCTCGTCCGCGTGTTGCCCGTCAGCGCCCTCCCGCCGCGGCGGCCCATCACGCGCCTGCTGTACTGCAGCAGCTGCAGCCGCAGCCGCGACGGCTGCATTGCGCGGGTGCCGGCGGACGTAAAACAGTATGTAGGCTCGCTGGTCCAGGACCGTGCGCTCCCCCACTGCAGTAACCCGGTGGTCATCGCATACGTGCCAGAGACCATTAGCTGCCTTGACGTAGCAGATGTAGTGCCCGCTGTTGACCGAGTAACCGTGATGCACGAGCACTCCGTACAGTTCGTACAGCTGCGATACAAGTGGGTTCAAAGCACGCACATGTTACGTGGTCTGGTCTGGGCGACACTACTGTCTTATACAGAGTCCTGGGTTCGTTTCCTGGGGAGACCCCCGACGTTGTCGGGAGCGTGAGATTATGGCTAGCTGCTGAGATGTGGAGTTGAGATCACAGTTGATGGATCGAGATTTGCACGCTGGATTGGTGGCGATTGCTGAACCCTCTGTCTCTGCGGATGTTCGGGTGAATGGATGAGGAGTGATCCTAGTAGGCAGGATCAACCGCCTTGGACTGTCAGTTCGTATGGCGTAGTACAGTGTGGTAATGGTGGATGGTGCTGTATGGTATGATAAATCGTAGAAATGACATGTTCAAATGGCCCAGAAGCCTCCCACTCTCTGTAACATGTTGCAGATATTAATGGCACACGTCACGACGAAGAGCAGACAATTGCACACAGTCAAAAAGGAGGGAGAATACCCAACGGCCCAGCTCTGTCCCCATCGGCCGTAAGCTCGCACCTGTTGGGGCCCCTTAACGTTGCTCATGTACGGTCGCAGATCCAGCTGTGTTCCAAAATCCACCTTCTTGTTAATCTTGGCTCCGAATCCACCGTACTCGAAGCGCTTGAAGTGCACCGTCAGCACGTTTGGCGCCTCCTCCACGCTGATTCGCTTCACTGCGCGGACCTGTAGCAGCACCCGAGGACGACACCCATTTTTCAGCTTGGAACACAGCATGCATAGGCAGTTGCGTGAAGGCGCCAACAGGAAGGTGGGTGATAACATAGCCCCCACCAGCCGTGGGGGCTATTGGTGGCTGATGTAGAGGGGCTGGAATGGGCTTGCAGGCTTGCGCGGGCCCGTGGTAGGTCTTATCAGCAGCGTTTTACAGTTTTTGGTAGGTGAGAGGTGAGAAGACCCAGCCCTGAGGCTGGGCGTGTTGGGTGCATCAAGGGTGATATCGGGGTCGGGTGTCCACATCTGTATTGTGGCGGGACTCGCAGGTTTTGGTCGGGTTAGAGTGCTCGCATGGGCGTGTTGTGCCTGCAGGTTGCCCAAAGACTTGCAGGTTGGTGTAATGTTGCATATGCTGTCGCTGCTGCGAGCATGAAGGAAAGGTAACGCTTTTACGTGCTCTGTTCTGGGAATTTGTTGCGTTTTTTGGCGTCTTTTCTGGACTGAAGCCATCTAGAAGCCGGTTCTCACAGAATGCGCAACAGCGCCTACACTCCAAACCGACAAACGGTACCTGCAAATGCGCCGTTGTCCAAGCATGGCACCCACCAGTTTGTTATTCTTGGGACAGCGGTACTTGTTGGGCCCATCCAGTACCTCGGGTGCCGTGAACGCAGAGAGGGCGCGCTCCAAGGACTGTGCGCGGTTGATCTCCAGGCTAAGGTCTAGGAAGGGGTCGTACGTGCGACTGACATAATCCACGCCTTCGCATTCAATCTGCGATTCATTCATGCAGCAGCAAGATGCACGGCTCGTCAGCGCAGGCAGTGCAACAAGGATCACCCGCGCCAAGGTCTGAATTGCCAGGCCCGGTCCGTTCACAGCCAAGGTGGGCTCAAGAAGAACGGACATCAGACCTGCGAAAAAGGAGGAAGCGGGCCGAGCGGGCAAGAGAGCACGGGCGGCGCCACGTCGCACCCACCTGGCTGCGCAGCCGGCCACCGAAGATACGGTACACAAATGTGGTGGCGGCGAGCTCCGGAGGCGGCTTGGGCTTGAAACGCTTCAGACACGCCTCGTGCATAGCATCCAGCAGGCAGCGCAGGAACTCGTGGCTATCCTCCTGTCGACCCAGCCGGAACCTGCGGTGGGCATAAGGGGCAGGGCGGGACGGGGAGCATTGGGACGGGCATCTTCGTTGTGCAGCGGAGCGAGTTCAGGGAACCATCTGATAAACTCTTTAGCGGCATCTTTAGTACTGCTACATTGTCGTAACGCCATCGCGTAGGGAGAGCGAATCCATAATGTGGGTCGGCTTTTGGCACAGTTGCAACCGCTCTCCTGCAACTAGAGAGGCCACCGATTGCGTGCAGTGCTCTCCCACAATTTTTCGCCCTTCGTAAACTGAACTGTGACCCTGCCAATACCTTTCTCCCTGCCGGCGCAACGACAAGTGCATGGAGATTGGATCCCGCGCCACCTGGATCTAGAGGTTTGGCAGATAAGTATGATCCTGGATTCCTTAGCTTGACTGCCCCAAAAAGATTACATAACCATACCACCTCTGTCCATGACTTAGAGATGATGGGCAGAAAACCAGGGGCAGCCTCCGGACTGCTTGCATGCAGCTGCCATGCCCGTTGCCTGATTGTAGCGCCACTATAACCCTGCCACCTCCCCTACTAGCATAAGCGCCTATACTACCATATGACTCGTAAGGCCCCTGCCCATTCTGCACGCGGCAAGCACTCTTTCCGGAGAAGTGCATGCACACAGCAAGTGTGAACCAAACTCAATCTGCGGACCTAATTACATGACGCATGTTGGTATTAATCCTCGCGCTGCAACACAATCACAGCGGCCCCGCTTTCCCGTCAATTCTGTTCACATCTGGGAAAGCTCACCGCTTGTTGATCAGGCGCAGGCTCGCGGCATGGGTCCTGGGCGCTAGTACCAGGTTAGAGAAAGACCGGCGCACTAGTTCCAGGGTGGCCGCCACGGGGTCGTAATGTCCTTCACCACCACCGCGTCCGCCCGAAATTTCCGCTACCAGCTTGTCGCCCCGCGCGCTGAGAAACAACTCCGCCAGAGGCGGCGTGTGCGCAAGAGCCTGCAGATAGAGGCCCGATCAGGGGTGGTTGGAGCGTACGGGTGGCCCAAAAGGCCGGATAGGAGCAGCCCCACATTTCCACTACATGGCTGTGACCCAAATCGCAACAGGTGGGTCTGGACTCTTCCTTGCAACGGCAAGCAAGACATACATAGAGCCTGGTTCCACTCCTACTTGCGGATGGCCACTCGTCATATTGACTGGCATTCTTCTGGAGCATTAAGAGCACACCCCGATTCCTAAATTCCGGTTTCGATGCCTTTCATTATGTCAGGCACCCACTCGCAACTGCACATGTCTCCTCGAAGGTGGGGTTCAACATACCTGTAGTACGCTGTTCATGAAGCATGTGTTGCCAAGATTGTGGTAACCGGCGCCCTGGTAGCGAAAAAACGGAAAAAACGGGTTCTTTTCGCAGCGTATGGCCCGTAGGTTTGACACCCGACGGGACGCGCAAAAGCATAACAGTAGGGACACATCGCAGCCCACCGAAGTTGGGCCCCGATAGGCAGTAGCTCATAGAACCCCAGCCCACAAGGCCGCCTTACCCGATTTCGCACAGTGGTCCAGTGCAGGATCAAGTCTGATTCCCGAAACAATTCTCGTTGTTGCTTTGGGGCAGCAGGAACCCCCTGCGATGCCACTCGGGGCCCGTTGGCCAGCGCCGGCATCTGCGCGTTATGCGTGTCGGGCAAAATCCACGGAACGGCTTTCAAGGAACACTTTTCAAGATGCCCGTTAGCAGGGCTCTAGCGCCGCCAGACGAGCCGCCAGCATGCCATCGATTAAGGGGCAAAAGGCACCTAGCACAATAATCCAAGGCTATGCAGCTTAAGAAATCTAACTAAAGAATATGAGCATACCTGTGGTACCTCGTTCAACGGAATCAGGTCAACGCCGGTAGGCGCAGAATGGGCATCAGGCTTGGTCGCCGGCACGAATGTCAGACGTCTAAAGCCGGACTGCCCCGTAGCCTGCAGAGGCTGAAGCAGAGGCGGAGTATTCAGGACCATGTGAATACTCCGACACAGCCTTTAACAGCAGGCCAACAGCCCTGTCATTTTGTGCAGCAGCATCACGCAGGCTGCAAATAAATAGCGCCGAAATTCTCGCGGGTCATCTCAGATATGCAATAAATGCGTACGGTGCCACGACATGCTCAGAACTAAAGTGTTGCCGTGATGTGTGTTACAGTGTTTGCACGATTTCACGATTTACTCATGCTACTAAAAAATCGGTTTACTTAATCTTCTATGGAAACTGTGATGCCTGAAAATAGCGGTGATCACGACGACATGGCTGCCGCACTTGCTGCGGCAGTGGTCTCAGCATACATCGCCCTTCCAAAAACCGGAAAACCGCAGCCTAACGAGCACACAGTCCTCGCAGGTAAGCCGTCCTCGTGTACGGCCGTGGTACGACGCCGCAGCACCAAACCACGTAGCCATTTCTCCCCCATGTCTGCTTGCCGCTACCGCCGCCGCTACTTACACCGCTATCCAACACATCTCCCGTCATAGCTACACACACAAAAACGTTGCAGGGACCATATCCACTATCACGCGCGGCCCTCCGGACGCCTCCCAAAATCAGCTGCCCTTCACTCACCCGGCCGCAGGCTTCGCCATCGCATACAATAACGAACACTCTGATCCGAACACGCCACCGTCACTGCAGCCGCTGCTCCAGTCCGAGCCCGCACCCGCAGCTATCAGCCCAAACCCACCTCTGCACGCCTCCACGCAGCCGGCAGGGCTCTTGCCACATCAAACCCCACCTCCGGCTCCAGCTGCTGCCAGTCGCCTACACGGGGGCGGTACCGGCTCCCTTATGGTCGTAGCCCTGGGTACGGGCACCAAGTGCCTTGGTGGTTCCAAACGCAGCGCGCTGGGCGACGTCATAAACGACAGTCATGCCGAGGTAGTGGCGCGGCGGGCGCTGCTGGCGTGGCTGTACGACGAAGCAGCTCTCGCTTTACAAGTACGACAGGAGTACGGCAATGGTGGCGGAGACAGCAGTGGGGTCCCAGCGGCACGCGGGGCTGTGGGTCAGCGAGCTGCCGCCGGTCTCTCCGTATTTGAATGGGTGCGCGTTAACGGGGCGACGGCGACGGCGGCAGAAACGGCTGCAGGTGCTGCGGTCGGGATGCCATGCAGCGGCAGCAGCGGCGGGGACGACATCATTACCGGCGGTGACGGCAGCGGCGCAGTACAAGTAGCCGTACGGCGCGGTCCACAGGACCAGGGGCCGCCGTCGCCGCCTCCCCTCCCGCAGGTGCGGCTGAGGCTGCGGCCAGGTCTGAGCCTCCTCATGTACGTCAGCCAGCCGCCGTGCGGTGATGCCTCCATTCTGGGCGCGGAGCCGGAGGCGGTTTCGGAGCCGCGGCGGGAGGAGCTCCCCGGCTGCCTTTCCGTCCGGGGGCAGGTCCCCTTCGAAGGATTATGCCTTGGGGGGACGTGCGTGTGCTCGCTTGAGGGTACTAGCGGCGGCGGGAAGACAGCCCCGTACGACAGCACGTTGGCCTCGGCCGCCGCCGCCAGTGGTGGCGTCGGCAAAGCCGGGAGAGCCGATGGCGCGTTGCCGGTGCTCAGCGGCGGCGCCGGTGCGCCTTCAGTGCGCTTCCGTACGGGCGCCAAGGCGATCAAGCTGATGGCGCCTGTGGAGGTGGAGGGCCGTCCCATACCGGCGGCTACGGCGGAGGCAGCGGCGGTGCCGGCCATCACGGGCCTTATGCCTTCCCAGCCGCCAGGTGCCGCAGACCCCGCGGGGGAATCCAAATCGCCGGGAGCTGGCGACCCGGCTGCTACTGCCCACTGCCCGCTGCCACCGAGCGCAGCTGACGGCATCGCCCTTATGAAGCCTGTGGCGCCGCCGTCGCCGCAGCTGGCGGCCTCGGCGTTGCCGGCAGCGGCAGCGGTTTGCACTGCCGCTGCTGCACCGCCTGGCGATGGTGGCGGCGGTACTGGTGGCGGCGGACTGGTTCCTCGCGTACCTCAGGCTGGCGATGTGGAGGGGTATGGAGAGCAGCTGCTTGCTGTGGGGACTGTACGGCGCAAGCCGGGGCGTGGCGACCCGACGTCCTCCATGAGCTGTAGCGACAAGATCGCCCGGTGGTGCTGCCTAGGGGTGCAGGTACTGGTTTCGGAGCAGCAGCAGCAGCAGCAGTGGGTCGGTCGGAGCGGGTCCAGAAGCGGGAAAGAGGGTTTGGACGCCGAGGGGAGAGAGGGCGGGTACGGGGTTAAGCAAAGGAAGAAACACATGTTTGAATGGGGCTGCAGGTCTCAATGGCCAAGGTGACAGCAGCCACAAGGGCTGGGGGGAAGGGAGCTCCAGGGAGGGGATATTTCGGATATGCAGGAGGGGCCCATCGTGTCATGTAACGCTCGACGCTTTGTCGAGTGCACTGCGGCCGCCGCGAGGACACCCTCTTTTGTCGTACTTTGATTGGCTCGTGACTGAGACACGTAGGAACCGCAGAGTGGCTGAGTGGGGGGGGGAGAGGGGGAGGGGGAGGGGGGTTTTGGAGTTATGTGCAGGGTGTTGAATCTGGACGGATCTCGAAGCGCAGGTTACGTGTATGGATGTATGGATGCGTGCATGGATGTATTTGTGACGATCGTTCACGCCCTAACACACATACACCCACACACGTGCTTCTCCCCTCCCCCGGGGCCCACCGTCCCCTCCAGGGCGCCTTGCTGAGCGGCCTGCTCGCTGAGCCCCTGTTCCTGGACCTGGTGGCGTTGGGGACCACACCCGCTATGGCGGCCGCGGCGGGTGCGAGAGGGGGGAGGGGTGGGGGGGAAAGACGAACCACACGCGATTGAAGCTGCTGCCAGGGCAAGATAGTAGCAACCGAAAGAACTGACCGAAAGGCGTCCGTGGCGACTGTGACGACTGTAACCTCGGGATGACGACTGTAACCTCGGGATGAAGAATTGACGTAGACGTTGGAAGTCCTACCTACCTAAGCCGCCAGAAATATTATAGCCAAACCGTAAACTAGTAGGTGTAGAAAAAGTAGTGAAGGCGGCGAGAAAAAAATGCTGACGTAAAAGTGGCGTAAAGTTGCTGGCCAGGAGAGAAAGCTGCATTGCTGATACTGAAAGGCTGCCGGTATGCAAGTGTTCCTCCCAACCCCCCAAAAAAACTAGAACGCGCGACTGACCCGACCGACCCAAACTAAACTATTCCGGCTAGCCTACCGACGCCCCCAGGGGTGGGGGGGAGGTGTTCCGAAGGCGGTGGGGACCTTATAAGCGTAGAGATGGGACTCATATGGCTAACAACTGTGTCTTTCCATCCCTCCCCCTTCACCTAGCTAGCCAGGCTTGGCCTCTGACTACTGCTACTGGTAGTAGTACTACTACTACTGCTAGTACTACTGGTACTAGTATTACCAGTACTACTGCTAGTACCACTGGTACTAGTACTACCAGTACTACTACTGCTAGTACTACTAGTACTAGTACTACTACTGCTGCTAGTATTATTATTATTAGTAGTAGTAGTACTGCTAGTACTAGTTTTACTATTACTACTACTGCTAGTACTACTAGTAGTACATGTTATCAGTAGCTACAGCCTCATCTGCACTAAGCTGAATGTCAAGGCCGTCAAGGGCACTATCACGAGGCCAGACACGACGACTACACCACTATCAGATGTCGGTAACGTAATGGGACTGTATTTCCAGAACCATGTGGGTCCGTGACTTCATCGACTTCATCGACTTCAGCAGGTCCGAATGGCTTTGGGTGCCAGCAGGCCGTTCCCGTTGCTTACTTGCATATGACGCAAACCCTTCCTCCCCCTTCTCAGGCGCCGAGGCTGCCAGGGCTGCCGTACTAGCGGCAGCCCGGAGGGCGTTTGTGTGCAGGCTGCTCGAGGACCCCGTCGTGGCGGCGCCGGGTACTGCAGCGGTGCCGTACACACCTCACCCTCCGATCCTGGTGGCGCTGCCGCCACCCCCCGCCCATCTGGGCTTGAATCCGGATGCGACCCGTAAGGTTCCCTCAGGTGGGGTGGGGGGTGGGGTGGGGTGGGGGGTGGGGTGGGGGGTGGGGCGATCTGCGGCGCGCAGTTTATGTTCGGTGGGGCTGGTAGGCCCAGCGGGTGGTGTTGATGTCAATGTTGATGATGATGATGATGATAATGATAATGACGACAGATAAGGTTGCAATGTCCATTTGTAAAAAGTCGTCGGTTTTATATTGTGGGCAAGGTTGTAACCGTACATCATCTGTTTCCCCGGTGTGGAGGGAAGGCCGGTCGCGTGTGTGTTTTGACTGTTGGGTCCCCCTTCTTGGGGAAGAGGGGGCCCGGGGAAAAAAAGGAGGATGCCTATGCTACGATTTTTTCGCTGGCCTTCGTTCTTTCTGGCAGTTCGTTACTATCCTTACTGTTGGCGGTTGCGCGAGTTCCAGTGTCGTACGCATTCACGAGTCGTCGTCGTCATCGCCGCCGCCGCCACAGCAGCATCAGCAGCAACTCTGTTGCTTTGCGCTTCGTGCCTTCGTTTGATTGCTATACGTACGTCATGTGTTTGGGGAGAACTGGAAGAGGTTGAAAGGGATTGGATTGAGATATTGAGCTGTTGAGGTATTTTGAGGTGTTGAGCTGTTGGTATGACAGTATGGCCTGTGGCTTAGAGGTCGCTGCCCTTGAACCCGTCGTTGTACGAACACAAAACACATACGCACACACGTTTGTATGCACGGTCTTCCCACCCCCCTGCTTTTGTCTTCTCTCCTTGACGTCTATATCCGTATCCTATACGTAAATGTATCTTCGTCAACACGGGATACTAAGTCATGATGTTATGTTACCGCTTACCGCTGCCTTACCACTGCTCTTTGTCAAATATTTTATCTCTTTCTCCCCCACCTCCTGCTTCCCCTCACCGCCTCCCTCCCCCCACCCAAAGCAGGAGTCTCCATCAACTGGTCCGCCCCGCCTGGAGCGTGTATGGGAATGGTCATGCAGCTCACACCAGCACCACCAGCACCACCACCACCACCACAACAACAACAACCACAACCACAACGGCAGCAGCAGCAGCAACAAGAACAACCGCAGGACCAACAGCGCCAATTAGAATTACGACTACCATCTTCAGCACAACAGCAAGAACACCAAGAACACCAAGAACAACAACAACAACAGCAGCAGCAGCAGCATCTTCAACTGTTTCCGCCTCTCCCGGGGGGAAAACCGCCTAGTAGGGGAGTGGGTCGTTGGTCGGTGATGGCGTCGGGACCTCCACCTCGACGCGGTGGAGCTGGGAGTCCCGGAGGGGGCGGTGGCGGTGGGGGCGACCTGGAGGTGACTCTGGCTGCAGACGGCCGCAAGGCGGGTGCGGCCAAGCGGGGGCCCGCCTGGGGGTCAGAGAAGACCCGTTCTCGGCTGTGTCGGGCGGCCATGCAGCGGCGCATGGTGGCGCTACTGCTGCTACTGCACCAGCAGCAACAGCAGCAGCAGCAGGTGCTACGGGTGCGACACGAGGAGGGGTTGACCTGGGGGCAGCCGCCTCCACAGCCCCCGCAGCAGGTAAGCGAGGTCTGCTGGTTCGAGTGGTGAGCTTGGGGAAGGGGATAGGGATGATGCTAGTGATGCGCATGGTGATAGCGTCCCAGCGGCCGTAATGCCGCATGGTTGTTATTCTTGGTGGTGCCTGTGGGTTGGTGGTGATTGGTGTCATCACTGCCCCGACAGTTCCGTTCATTGTTCGTTCGGAGGGTCTTGGCAGGTACAAGATGTCGAGGGATAGGGTGGTGGGGTGGGGTGGGGCAGGGACCCACTGTTGCGTGCCCCGCTTCCCCGGTGGGGGAAAGAAGGGGGAAGAGGGGGGAAAGTGGGCCATTTCAGTAACACACAAGCTCCAATGACACCGGGCCCCCCACCCATCCTGCACTCCTGCACCTGCACCACGGCCGGCCCCATAAGACTCTCCACATCGCTCTGCCGGAGTCCCCGCAGGAACCAACCAGTGC